GCTTGTACAGTTGTTTTATGGCTCTTGAAGACTTGTTCCCCAGCTGTGTCTACAAATACTAAAAGCTCATCAAAGATCTTCATTTCCGTTTTTTGTGCCCCCCCCCCCCAGGGCTGTGATCATGATTTCTGTCTTTCTGTGTACGCTCGCTGTGTGTTCTTAATTGATGACTCTTTCATGTGGCAGAGCACCTAGCATTTAACGTAGTTGCTTTCCATTCTTTGGTGGTAACTCCAACACCTGTGCTGTGGCTCCTTCTGACACTCCTCTTCACACTGTTTTTGTCTTCAGAATGCCTTGCACTTTTTCTTTTGCTCTGCAGACACAATGTACTGAGTAGAGGTTTTTAGGCCTGACTTTTGGAAGTGTAGAAATGAGGAGTCAGGGAAGGGGAGCCCTCTGTCATTCGTGCACCTATGCCCTTAGATTGTGAATGTAACCGGTGTTTCTTATTTTTTTTTTTTTTTTTTTTAGGTCTTCTTTAAAAACAAGACTGATAGAACATCCTAGAGTTGGGTGTTCCTTCCTCACATGTGGAAGGCTATATCTAGCTTCAGCTGGGTATTTTCCTGTACCCAGGCCAATTTAGGCTCTGAGAAAGCAGCAGTATGTCCTGTTAGGCAGTTTCACTCCAGGTAGACATTGTTAAAGAACAGAATGAGCTGGTCTATTTAAAAATGGCTCCCTCCAGAGACTGAATTCAGCAAGTACAGGGCCAACATGGTTCTGTACCTGGTCCTCTGCCCTTATAACATAGCTTTCAGCTTAGTATTTTATGGGGCTCATGAGTGTGTGGGTGAGCAGGTCTCTGATTCTTGTGCCTTCTCTTGGGGCTCTATTCCTTCTGTTGGTTTGCCTTGTCCAACTTGGATGCTATGGTTTTTGTTTTATGTTTGGTTGTTTTGTCTTAGAAGCCTGTCCTTTTCTAATGAGACAGAAAGATAGTAGATCTAGAGGGGAGGGGAGGTAGGGTGGGGTGAGGTTAGGAGGAGTAGAGGGAGGGGGAACCATAATTAGGATATATTGTATGAGAAAAGAATCTATTTTCAAGAAAAGGAACAAAAGAAAAATGCCCCCCCTTTCCTTCCTCTACATATAAATATGAGGGATTGTTTTTTTGTCAAGTTCTATTGCAGAAACCTATTCAAACTCCTGGGGTTAAAAATCACAAAAGCATCAGGGCCAATTGTGACTAGGTCACCTGGGAGTGTCAACTCCCACATATGTGTCCATCTAGCTTACAGAAACTCATCAGTTAAGTTCAGCTCTTCCTGCATCAGCACCAGTCCTGGTTGGGGCTTCTGCTCCATGTGTTTTAACTTCTGCATCTTCCAGTGTGTTCCACGGCAGGGGCAGCAGTTTAACCTGTGACCTTATTTATTTCACTGGTCTAAGAATTGTTGGATTTTTAGCTTGTTGAGCTTTTTACTTTAAAACTCCACATTTGCTTACACTGTGAGTATATCCCTATGCTGTTGAACATGGTATATTCAGGGTGAAGGAGTCTGACCATCTGGTATACCCAGGGCAGAGCAGTCAGACCATATGCACCAACCCATCCTTGCTTCCCTACCTGACCAGCATTGTCTTCCACTTTGGAAAGATGAATCATTTAGAGATTCATAACCATCCTGTATCCCTATCCCATGTCTCACTGTTCCTTTCTTTTGAAAGGGGGTAGAAGGGCTAAAACATTCTTCACTACTGTTATTCAGCTCTTGCTTTTTTGAAGTAGTTTTTCTGTTTTTGTTTTTGTTATTTTGGTTTTTGCTGTGGCCAAACAGCTGAATCATCTGGGTGCTGAACAGAGATGACTTGGTACCCAGGTGACAGCCTCAATACAAAAGTTTCCTTCTTAGTGGCTCAAAATTCAGGCAGAAGTCAGTGAGGCTGGCAAACAATTCAAAAGCTTGTTTTGACTTTAACAAATTTCCCAGTCAAAATGTCAATTGCTTCTTTCTGTGTGTAAGGGTAATTTCCCTACTGGAGCACTGGGAGCCTTGTGTGTGTGTGTGTGTGTGTGTGTGTACACGAATACACATTCGTGTACACCAACTGGGTTAGTATTCACTTTTCTTTCCCCATGTTGTCTATCTCTGTGTACAAGAAATTCCCCTGGGAGAATGAGAAAGTGCTTTCCACACAGCATGGGAGTCAGGAAGTACAGGCATTGGCGTCTGTGGATGCTTTCCCTCCTTCACTGTTGGCAACAGTAAGGGCATCTTCATGCATCTTGACTCACATAAGTAGCCAATGACAGCCTCAATTGTTAACTATGTACTCACATTTGTTCTTTACACAAATTGTTTCTTATCCTTTCAGTAATTTTGTCATGTAGATGATGGTACTTGGATTCTGGACCTGAATTATAAATATCCTAGCTCTCCATTGCTTTGATTAACCAAAAGAATAAGTGATTGTTTTCACTAAGCTGTTCTCTTTCCAATAAATACTTTCCAGACTAAAGAGGAATTACTATCCTAATGTAGCCTGGATATTTTCTTAGAATGCACAATCCTCCAAGCCTTTAGGCAAAGGCTTTATTTATGCTTATTTCTTCTCTAAGACGTTAGATAAGGGTGGGCAAAGTGGCTCCATCGGTAAAGAAGCTTTCTGTTAAGCCTGGGTTAATCCCAGGCACCTGCTTGGTGGGAGACAGAACTGACTCTGGAAAGCTAAATACTGGTCACCATAAAAAGAAGAACAAAAAGAGATCAGGGTCAATTCATTTATTCTTGAGAGTGCCTCTTCAGGCCATTATTGTGTGGATGAGTGGCAGGGATTACAGAATGAACCAACTAACCAGAGGCTGAACTGCACTTAGATGTTGCTGTCTCTCTCCTTAATGTGGGTGCTCCACAAGCTTCAGTGGTTGACTTCTGTCCCCAGGTATGGACCCAGGATGCCAGAGCAGTTTTCTAAATTCTCAGCTTCCAGCTGTCCAAGCTCAGGCTGCACCTGAGTCTACCTCCCTTTGCTTTTGCTGGCCCCAGCTGCCCCTCTACTTGTCTCCCCATTGGCTTATCATAAGAGTGTGGGTTTCCTTGCTATCCTGTCTGGGATCAGCCTTAGTCACAGAGCTTTGGTTTGAACCTTGGGATCATGGTTTTCAGCCTACCTGTCTCCTTCCCAGTAGTCAAAGACCTGTTCTTTGTAGCAGTAGAGAATTCTGGGCAAAGAGCATATCCTGGCTCTTCCTTAAGGATCTAAAACTTTTTTTTCTTCTATGCCTTCTTCAACAGCAGTGGTTTGTTGCCTTTCTAGGCATAGATTTCCCTTCCCCCTTCTCCAAATCTGTTTTCTTTTTATTGCTTATCTAAATCAATATTCTTTTGTCTTATCCCAGGGGCCAGGTTTTCTGCTTCCTTTGGGTAGCATATGACTTTTGCCTTGCAAGAGACAGCTCTGGGGGAGAGAGCAGGACATTCTGCTGGCCTCCTAGCACAGTTGACTGACTGCCCCTGCAGGTCTATTCAGCAAAGGGCAGGTCTGGTCTTGTACACTGTTCCCAGCTTTTTCTCCCATGATCCCGACATGGGAATTAATAGGAAGGAGCTTGGCTTAGTACACACTCCACTTCTGCTGGAAAAAAGGCAGGATGGACACAGAATCTGGTCGACTGGGCTACATGACATGCCATCTCAAGCAACCTGAACTCTACATGCAGTAATAGTTACTGTAGTGCTGGCTTGCTCCACACTTTCCAAAGAAACCAGCTGATACACAGCCGGGAAGTTGTTTAAACAGAAGGCGCCAGAAGCCACAGTGCACTGAGATGAACTAGGTTACTACAAAGCAGTTTGTCTCACAACTTCTTAGTTTTTCCAAGAAATGACTTACGAGGCTAACGTCCTTCGAAACAGCTAGTTTTTGAAAATACTAAATTACTCTGGCTTCCCTTTTAAAATGGAAAGGGTATGATTCATGGGTATTTGTGGAGTTCAAGTACATTTCTCTCTTACTGATGCAATGGCTGGAAGCCACACATTGTGGAGACCTGTTGTCGGTTGACAGTTAAAGTATTGTCTTCACAATGAGTCTGTTGATAGTGTTCCAATACCACAAATTAATATTTAGACTAGCCCCCTGTGGGCTGTCAAGACAGAGCTCCAGAGAGTATTCCCTTTCTCTGACACAATATTTTCTAGTTCCTTGGTGCCATCATATTCTCTTAATATCCCATCAAACGTGTTAAGGGAGGATTAGGTTGAGCTATATGAGGTTTTCTTTGGCACAATTTACACAGGAACATTGAAGAAGCTGATCCCTGTCTGAGAAAGCCTGGGCAGAACTGTCAGCCATTTTCTTTTTCCTTTATTCATACAAAAATGTCCCCATACAAGGAGGAACCCTCAACCAAGAGGCCGTGTTATGACTTGCTTTGTTGAGGGGCATCAGTAATACGTATTCTCAGAGTACACCATTTAGCTCTCACATGGTCACTAAAGCCAATCTTAGAAGTAGGCCTGATGCCATATGCCCCTTCCAGGTCCCTAAAGGTATTCTGAAGTGCAAACCCATAGAGAGACCAGGTGAGACCATGAATTAAAGTGACCAGGGAAATCAAAACACCAAGCCGATTTTCTTTTTCTTTCTATCTTTTGTTTTTGCTTTTGTTTTTGTTTTTGTTTTTCGAGACAGGGTTTCTCTATGTAGCTTTGCAGACTAAGCTGGCCTCCAACTCACAGAGATTCTCCTGCCTCTGCCTTCTGAGTACTGGGATTAAAGGCGTGCACCACCACTGCTCAGCCACGCTGATTTTTAAATGGTATGAAAAATAGGCAGAATTATCATCTGGATTGGTCTTGGGATATTATTCATTTAATCAGTCTACACAGGGAGGCAGTTGCAGAAGTGTAAGATATGGTACCAGAAGGGAAATGTCCGTGTGTCCATTCTCTGTTGGAGAATCTGTTACCACAGCGATAAACAACTTTGGTGATAATAGCCCCCCTCCAAAATAGATGGATAAGTTACTTACTATGGGTGAACTTATTGAGCATGGAATATCTGTGTTTTTAACTGCATATGCTATGTTATAGCAAAGCTATTCCACATATGAAGAGTTTAGGTTCTAAAACGTTATTTGTCTGGCTCTCTATTTAAGACCAAATCTTACAACATAGCCCAAGATAGACTTGAACTCATGATCCTTCTGTCTCAGTCTGCCCAGTTCTAAGATTAAATGCTTACAGTCCTTTAGCTGCAATTTAGCTGCAACCTTAGCACTGCCACCTGCAGCTTCCATTTCTCTTTTCCTCCCTAACTCTTCCTCTTTTTAAAAAGGTTTATTTGTTTATATGTTTATGTAGGGACTTGGACGCATGAGTGTGCCAGTAGAGGGCAGAGGCATCAAATCCCTCTGGATGTGGAGTTGCAGGTGGTTGTGAGACATCCAGCGTGGGTCCTGGGAACCAAACTTGTTTCCTTTGCAAGAGCAGTACATGTTCCTAACTGCTGAGCGATCCCCCAGCCCCTAGATTCCATTTCTTAAAAATCACCCCCAGATGACTAAGATCCATTTAAGCCGCTGTTATCCATTTCCATAGCTACAAGCATCAGTGGTCCCAAGAAAGCTTTATATCTAGGAGCACACTTCTCTTCTTTACTTTCTGCTGCATGCCTCCCTCACTGTGGACCTCTGCTGTCTACAGCATCCTTGTTACTAGAGCCCAAAGCCTGAGCCCTGACAGCCCTAACCAGCTAACCTTGGCTGCTGGCCTTCTGTATGCCATTTAAAAAGGCAAGCAATAACGGAAAGCAGAAAAGGGAGATTTACTCAATGTGACCACAATGGGAAGAACAAACCATGACATCCAGTGACAGTCTCCCCAGCAGGGATATTAGCATGACATTTTGTGTTAAATAGAGGACAAGAAGAACGATGGCTAAATAGCCCTGGTCATGGTATGACCCTCACCAAAACTGATTCACTCTGTCTCGGAACCTGGCTCCTGGTGTGTCCTATAGGTTGTCAGCCCTTTGTGAACTCTCTTTCAGAGAGACAAGTTCTTCCCCAGGTGTGCACCAGATTTCAAATCTTTCTCTTTCCCAGCATGAGACTCATGAGAAAACTCCAAATCCTTGAGAAATTGCCAATTATTGTCTCTATAATCTGGTAGCTGAAGGAAGAGGCACGGTGTCTCTTTGAATGCCTTCACTCCTGCAGGGACGGCTACACCATCACTGACACCCAACCGTTCACTGTTCATGTGCTCTGGGGGCATGGATGTGCAACACTCAGCCCCTGGAACCACCCTTGACCTTCACTGGATGTGCCATCCACAGGCTCTGTCTTAGGTTCCCTCCTGAACTCCTGGCCTTCTCCAGCACTAAAAAGGTTAGACCAAGATCATTCTTTGCTGCTAACATTTAGCTGTGACCTCAGCAAGTTGCCCTTTTCACTTTTCCATTCTCCACTCTTTCCTTCTAAAGCATCATTCACTCTTTGGTCTTCATTTTTCCCCTGTTGTGCCACAGGCCCCTTGTAATATTTAGCACTGTCCCCTGACTTACAAATTTGAAAAAAAATTCTCTCTCATTTGTTTCCATCCCAGGCATGTGCCTCTTCTTTAGCAGTGTTTTAACAGTATCCACTGCTTTTATACGCTACAAACTGACAATGCACTGATGTTCATAAAATATCTCAGACTGAGTGCAAATCCTGCTCTCATATTCCTGAGTAACCAGCGGTGTGTTAACGCCATCTGCCAGTGAGGATTGTGGGTCTCCTAAACTCTGTTTTGTTCATACCTGTGACCATCCTTAGTGGAAAATTTATAAGCAGAGGTGTTCCTGTATTAAGAGGGATGGGAGACACAAAAGGAGAAATGAGACGGTCTTTGTGATCTTATGCCAAGACTGGTAAGTAAAGACATAAAATGCAGACTGGCCAGAAACACCACCACCACCCAGTCTACACACGAAAGTTACTGGAAACCTTAGAAGAGCCTCACATTGGGTGCCATATAATAAGAGGGAAGTTGAAGCTCCCTCTTTGGGTTCTTAGTCTCTTTAATAAGTAATTTTAAAACATAGCCTCAAGAACCAGACTTTGAGAGAAAAAGCACAAGGGAGGGCAAGCTATGGCTGTTGGCAGCTGCTGGAGGGAGGGAGATGGAGGAGAGGAAGAGACAAAGATGTGACTTTTGACTCAGGCTGGTGTGTTCAACAGTGGGTGTCAGAAACCATCAGCATGACCTAGGAGCAGGCAGGCTTAGCTGCATGGTGGCAGCTCTCTGAGCGAGAGCCTGGACAGAGGGCAGGGTTCCTAGGAAGGAAAAGTACACTATCTCATTAAGTGGATAATTATTCCTCCCATCTCTTTAACGTGGCTCTTGGTAATCCAGCCTTTTAAAGGGGGTTGTCTTTGGCCATGTGGTCAACATGCCCAGCTGGATTAACTCTTAATGGAGGACACAGCAATATATAATGTTCTAATTTTTGGAGCAGTTCAGGATGTCCTATCTTCATCCAAGACCAGAGGTAGATTCCATTAGGGAAGGTCCATCCTGGAAGGTCTTTAAGATGTCTTTCACATTTATCCCTTAATGGGGGGAGCACCCTAACATCACTTAGGAGATGGGCTGAAATTGCAGAATAGATAAAATCCATTTCCATCATGGAAATCCAGAGAGCCAGCTCCAGAGTGTCCACCAGGGGGAGTTCATGTCTAGACTGGAGTCTCAAAGATACCCTCAGAGAGAGCTTCTAGGTCAGTGGTTCTCAATCTGTGGGTTGTGACTCCCTGCCCCTTCCCATTGCATTCCAGATAGATATTTACATTATGATTCATAACCGTGGCAAACTACAGTTATGAAGTAGCAACAAAAATAATGTTATGGTTGGGAGTCACCACAACATGAGGAACTGTATTAAAGCATGGCAGCGTTAGGAAGGTTTAGAACAACCGCTCTAGGCAGTTCACTTAGGAGGAGAGAGAACAAGGAACTAAGAGTCAGAGCCCTTCTATGGCATTCAGCAAGGACTTTCCTAGAACCATGGCTTTTGGAGACCTTGCCTTAAGCTGCCTTCTGTTCTCATCAAAAGTGACACTCTTAGATAATTTCATCAGAAGCCGAGGCACTCCCCACTGCCCAGGACCAAGGTGGATGGAAGTCTTTGCAGAAGTTTTGTGGAGATGACATTCCCTCTGTCTGTGTTTCTCTCCAGGAACCGAGTCCATCCTGAGTCAGCTTTTTTCTGTGTGTGCATGTGAGGGCTGTGGAGGGAACCCAGGGCCTTACTTGTGCAAGTATTCCACCACTGAGCTACAATGCACAGGCCCATCAATAGTATCTACTCTGTCTGTGCTTGAAGTCCTCTGGTGTGGGTCTTACATGTTCCTTACTAGGTTTGTTTCCAAACAACATAAAATCATTGTCATTGTCAATGGGGATCATTGAATTTTTTCACATACACTAAACAGATATCCAGACATCTGACCTTGCCTCCCTAAACAGCATCAGTTAAACACAGAACTATCAAGTGGCATAGGCAATTTGCAGAGTGCCAGGGGAGCCATAGCCTGCAGAGGCGCTCATCTGGGTGTTTGCCCAGTGTAATGTCTCCAGAAGGAGGAAGGCTCCCAGTAGAGGTCCACTGTCTGATAGCTGATGCAACCCGGCCTTGAGATTGAAAAGTCACCCTCCTCCCTCTCCTTGACTTAAAAACATGTTGCCATGGGGGTCATAAAATTTTAAAAATTAAAAGGAGCATGGGCCATGATCATCTTGCTAGATGCTGAAAAGGCCTTTGACAAAATCCAACATCCCTTCATGATAAAGGGCTTGGAGAGACCAGGAAGAACAGGAACATACCTAAACATGATAAAAGCAATATACAGCAAGTCAATAGCCAACATCAAACTAAATGGAGAGAAACTCAATGTTCTTCTAAAATCGGGAACAAGACAAGGTTGTCCACTCTCTCCATATCTCTTTAATATTGTACTTGAAGCTCTAGCTAGAACAATAAGACAACAAAAGGAGATCAAGGGGATACAAATTGGAAAGTTGCAGGTGATATGATGGTTTACATAAGTGACCCGAAAAACTCTACCAGGGAACTATTACAGCTGATAAACACCATCAGCAAAGTGGCAGGATACAAGATTAGTCAGTAGCCCCACTATATATAGATGATAAATGTGCTGAGAAAGAAGTCAGAGAATCATCACCCTTTACAATAGCAACCAACAACATAAAATATCTTGGGGTAACACTAACCAAAAATGAGAAAGACCTGTATAGTAAGAACTTTGGATCTTTAAAGAAAAAAATTAAAGAATATACCAGAAAATGGAAAGATCTCCCATGCTCTTGTAGGATCAACATAATAAAAATGGCAATCTTGCCAAAAACAATCTACAGATTCAATGCAATCCCCATCAAAATCCCAACACAATTCTTCACAGACCTTGAAAGAACAGTGCTCTACTTCATATGGAAAAACAAAAAACCCAGGATAACCAAAACAACCCTGTACAATAAAGGAACTTTCAGAGGCATCACCATCCCTGACTTCAAGCTCTATTATAGAGCCATAGTCCTGAAAACAGCTTGGTATTGGCACAAAAATAGACCGGTTGACCAATGGAATTGAATTGAAAACCCTGATATGAACCCACACACCTGGGACCTCCTGAAACGGAGAAGCTTCTGTACGGCAAAGGACACAGTCAGCAAGACAAAATGGCAGCCAACAGAATGTGAAAAGATATTCACCAACCTCACATCTGACAGAGGGCTAATTTTCAAAATATACAAAGAACTCAAGACGCTAGCCTCCAAAACACCAACTAATCCAATTAATAAGTGGGGTACAGAACTAAATAGAGAATTCTCAACAGAGGAATCTAAAATGTCTGAAAGACACTTGAGAAAATGCTCAACAGCCTTAGCCATCAGGGAAATGCAGCTCAAAACCACTCTGAGATACCATCTTACTTCTATCAGAATGGCTAAAATTAATAACACCAAATGACAGTCTATGCTGGAGAGGATGCAGAGAAAGGGGAACACTCCTCCATTGCTG